AAAAACTCCCGGACCCCGGCGAGGCTCCCCCGCTCCGAGGGGTGAGTCGACTTGGCAACCCTACTTTAAGCTGTTGGTGGCAGTTTCCGGAATCCAGGGCCCTCTCTCTTTCAGCCAACCAATGTTCTTCATTGGTGGTGGCGGCTCCCAAAAGCCTGGTGGAAAAGCCCCATTTTACAGGCCCTGCAGAACTGTAGAAGGTCCTGCAGGGCCCTGATCTCCTCTGGGAGCTCATTCCACCAGGTTGGGGCCGCCACTGAGAAAGCCCTGGCCCTGGTCGTTGACAGCCTAACCTCCTTCAGACCCGGGAGGGCCAGCTGGTTCTGAGCCCCTGACCGCAGTTCTCTTCTTCAGGAGAAGGATCTCAGGCAGCAGGTGCTGGGGAAAAACTATTCTCTGACTGAGATCCCGGAGAGCACTGCCTGTCAGACAATACTGAGCTAGATGGACCAATGGTCTGACTTGGGGGGGGGGAGCTATGTCTCAGCGGTAGGCGTGGCTTTTGACTGGACTACTGGACTCATACGGTGCCATCTTAAGCAAAGTTACACCCTTCTGATCCCATCGGAGTCAGTGGGTTTAGAAGGATGTAGCTCTATTTAGGACGGCGCTGACAGTATCCTCAGTCTATGGACTGAGAACTTGTTTATGGCTCATGCTTGAGGATGGAGAGGAATGGGGGGGTGTTCCTGAAAAGTGCATGCTTTTTTCTTTGAACTATTAATAACAAAAGCAGGGGGCCAGGTTTTTTTTTAATTAATAATTTTTATTAAATTTTTCAACCATAACATAACACAGTTTTACAAATAAAAATAGCAATATATCAATGTTATCATAAATACAAATTCAGTATAATAAACTTTAACTAACCAAACATTTGTTAACAACTACCAGTTTTGATTAACGAATCCAAGTGGAGTTTGAAGGGTTAATTGCCCTCTGCCTTCCCCGTATGCCCCAAATTGCAGCAAAGGGTTAAATGCCCTCTGCCTTCCCCATATGCCCCAAATTGCAGCAAATTGAGGCTGCAAGAGGCTACAGCCAGTTTGATGTAGTGGTTAAGTGCACGAACTCTAATCTGGGAGAACCAGGTTTGATTCCCCACTCCTCCACTTGCAGCTGCTGGATGACCTTGGGCAAGCTGTCAGAGCTGTCCTTGAAAAAGAGCAGTTTCTGTCAGAGCTCTCTCAGCCCCACCTAGCTCACAGGGGAGGGGAAGGGAAAGGAGTTTGTAAGCCACTCTGAGACTCTGAGTAAAGGGCAGGGTATAAATCCAATCTCCTCCTCCTCCTCTTTCTTCTTGAATGGAACAAGAGACACAGGATCTTCATCTCATCTGAGAATTATCTCAAAGAGCAGCTTCTGGCAAGAACAGGAGCCCTTGACCTACTACTTACTCTTGTTATAATAGCGTGCTGCTAACGCCATAGATGGACCCCATGTTTTCCTTGATTGCAGAAATAAAACACTCCTGTTTCTTTTTTGTTTCCCATTACAGGAAGCAGCTATTAGTTGCTGGATCCAGTTCAGTGATGGGGCAGTCATGCCCTTGGACATGTATGACCCCAAAGACTTCTCCTTGGTAGCAACATCTCTAGACGAGAAGGTGGTCTCCGTTCACCACAGCCCCAAATTCAAATGGCCCCTCATCGTCGCCGAGTCAGAAGGTCAGGGACCATTGGTGAGGGTGGAGATGGTGATCAGTGAATCGTGCCAGAAATCCAAAAGGAAAAGCATCATGGTTGTTGGGAATGGAAATATCAAGGTCAACTTTGGGCAGAGTGACGCTAATCCCAACACCAGTGACAGCAGGCGTGGTGGAGCCGGCGTGCACCTGGAAAACCATACCAGTGGCAGGCGTCAGAAGACAACTCTGAAGGAGAGATCTCGGGAAGAGGGGCCATACTACAGCTCATCAATGGGCCATGAGGAAACCAGAGGGGCCACCACTCAGAAGTCCATTCTGAGCAAAAAAGAGGACCGAGAAAGCCTTCTGGATGATGACAGCCATATGCAAAACATCCCAATAGACTTCACCAGCTTCCCAGCTCAGGTGGACCTGCCAAGGAGCAATGGTGATTCGGAAGAGAATGACCTTCTAGAGACCCCCAGGGGCCTGAGTGACTTGGAGATTGGGATGTACGCTTTGTTGGGGGTCTTCTGCCTGGCTATTCTAGTCTTCCTTATCAACTGCGTGACCTTTGCCTTGAAGTACAGGCACAAGCAGGCTCCCTTTGAAGAACAAGAGGGCTTAAGCCATTCCCACGACTGGGTAGGGCTAAGCCACAGGACAGAGTTGCTAGAGAACCATCTCAATTTTTCCGCCCAGCCGGAGGAGTGCATTACAGCCATTGACCGTAGCATGGACTTGGAGGAGAGCAAATACCTCCTAAACGCTAACTCCCAGAAGAACCTCAACGGGCAAGTCTTCCGGTCCTCAGACTCGGCTCCATTCCCGGAAGGGAAGGAACAAAAGAGCGAGCCAACCGCCTCGCCGACCTCCAAGCGGAAACGAGTCAAGTTCACCACCTTCACCACCATCTCTTCCGACGGGGAGTGTCCGACCGTCAATTCCATCTTGACAAGCAGTGAGGACGATATCAAGTGGGTTTGTCAGGACATGGATCTGGGAGAGTGTAAAGAACTAAGGAACTATATGGAGAGGTTACACGAAAATGCATAACACTGCACCGGGAACCATTTGGGGTGTATTACTTTCCCCCCACTCACCTTTCTGCCTTTAATTTGGGGGTGCTGGGGTGGAAAAAACCATGAACAATCTAAATGGTGGCTGGTTTGGTTTCAGCGGAGCTGAGGAGAGCAGGGGGAATCCGGAACAGCTCCTCCTCTTTGCACTCGGTAGCGTGTGGGAATTATTCTGATGCAAGGCAACTCCGATGGGGGTTTAAAATACAACAACACATAAAATTAGCTTTGAGCTTGCTGAGGAAATGGTTTAAGGAAATCATTAACGGCAACACAAAAATGTGGAATTTACAAAACATTGTCAGGGTCCTTAGTCAGGTCACGCAACACAGGGCTTCATAAGAAGGTAACTGTTTATTGATAGATCCAGTACTAAAGACACATGTACAGCTTGTGTCAGGAATGGCCGTCAGCACTAGGGCCTCTGACTTATACTAGAATCAAACATCCCCCCAGTAAGCATGAGCCAATGGATACATTTCACGCGGGCGGCAATAGCAAGCAGGCAAAGCGAAAAGCCGTTAACTTTCCCAGCCGAGAAACTGCAGCTGGAGCATCTACAAGGTCAAGCATAAGATAGCAAACGGTTGGTGAGCCAGGGATAGCTAAGACAGAAAACGGGAGGGCACCCCTCCACATTCCAGACCTATGACAGGGCTACCTGACAAACAGATGCCAGTTTTAACTCTCAGGATAACGAGGCTGTGGTTCAAAGCTAGAGGTGGGATGCGGCGGGGGAGGGAATGGAACTTTAAAAGTCATCCAGCGAGATGAGGAAGAGAGCATCCAGATGAAAACATTCCTGAAAAGGGCTGTCAGCACCAGAGATACAATGACAGCAGCTTTGACTTCCTGAATCACAGGAAGGCTGAAAAAGGCCAAGGACATTAGTATTGAGGCTAATGCTCTTCAGTTTTAATGTTCACTGTGAAAACAGTGCTTTGGCAGATAAGAGGCCGATCCCACCACAGTGCCGTGATCCCGAGTTCTTTTATGGCTGTTTGAAATTGTTTTCACCTCTGTATACATTTTGATCCAAGTATCTTCCAAGGAACTTCCTCGCCCCTGTTTAGTTCTTCACAACAACTCTGCACGATGGGTAATCTGAGTGAGAGTGACGGGCCCCCAGTGAGCTCCATAGCAAAATGAGGATCTGAAGGACCAGGTACTAGTCCAACACTCTAACCTCACCCCATCAGGGATCACACAATGGGCATGTTGACAACACAGTGGTGTTTATCCAGTCAGTTTTTAGGACAAGCACAGCCCTTTAGAATGAAGGCCCTGTTTCCTGTCCTGGTCACATGGGTCACCATAGCCAATCAGGGATCACTGTATGAATCAAACTGTTTTTCGGCTCTTTCGCAAGTGCTCCCACAAAAAGTTTCGGAAGCAGAGATGACTGTGAAGAGCATTTTTGCCAAACTGGCCTCCATACCTCCATCTTTCAGATCAGCACTAGTAGAAGTTGTTTGTATAAATAACTTTATTTAACTGGGGTGTCTAGCAACTGGCACACTTCCTAGCATTCTTTGAGAAAGATTTCCCCTTATGTGTCATGGTAAACAAACATCCCTTTTAAAGGAAGTCCCAGTAGAAACCAATGATGTTGCTTACTTGGAAGTATGATTGGTTCATTGCCTCCCACAACTGGTGAGGATGGGCAATTGCTATTACATCCTCACCAACTGTGAAGCAGCTTCGTCATCTCAGTGGTCCATCGCTTAGTCTCCTGTGTCCGGGTCCTGCACTTGCGCCAACACAAGAGAGTTTGGGGTGATTCCATACACCCTTTGCTGGGCCTCTGCTGCTCCCTCTTCTCCACCCGGATTAGTTACGGGCCCTGCTAGGCCAAGTTCGTCAAGAAGACGGCCGCCATCTCGATACTGGGTAAACTGGTGGAAACTGTTATTAAGGAAAGAATGAGTAAGCACACTGATGAACAAAAGCTATTGAGGCAGACACAGCATGGGTTCTGTAAGGGAAGATCTTGTCTCACTAACCTGTTAGTGTTCTTTGAGGGACTGAACAAACATGTGGACAAGGGGGACCCAAAAGATACTGTTTACTTTGACTTCCAAAAAGTTCCTCATCAAAGGCTCCTAAGTAAGCTCAATAGTCATGGGATAAAAGGACAAGTCCTTTTGTGGATCAAAAACTGGCTAATTAATAGGAAACAGAGAGCGAGTATAAATGGGAAACTTTCTCCATGGAGGGTGGTAAGCAGTGGGGTACTGCAGGGATCCGTACTCAGTCCGATGCTTTTTAACTTGTTCATTAATGATTTGGAGTTGGGAGGAAGCAGTGAAGTGGCTGAATTTGCGGATGATATGAAGTTGTTCAGGGTGGTGAAAACCAGGGAGGATTGTGAGGCACTCCAAAGGGATCTGTTGAGGATGGGCAAGTGGGCGTCAATGTGGCAAATGGGGTTCAATGTGGCCAAGTGCAAGGTGATGCCCATTGGAGCCAAAAATCCTAACTATAAATACACGTTGATGGGGTTCGAACTGGCAGAGACTGACCAAGAGAGAGATCTTGGAGTCGTAGTAGATAACACACTGAAAATGTTGAGACAGTGTATGACTGCAATAAAAAACACCAATGCTATGCTGGGGATTATTAGGAAGGGTATTGAAAACAGATCAGCCAAAATCATAATGCCCCTATATAAATCAATGGTGCAACCTCATTTGGAATACTGTGTACAATTCTAGTCACCACACCTAAAAAGGATATTATAGCTTTGGGAAAAGTGCACAAAAGGGCAACTAGAATGATAAAAGGGTTGGAACACTTTCCGTATGAAGAAAGGTTAAAGCGCTTGGGGCTCTTTAGCTTGGAGAAACAACAGCTGAGGGGTAACGTGTTCGAGGTTTA